CTAACCATCCTCAAACCAGCCTACTTCATAAAACAAGTACATTCCCCTCCATGTAAGGAAGACATCAAGAAACATCCTCCAAAAGACTTTTTGAAAACATGTGAAAGCAAAAGGCCCCTGTACTATGAATGGAAAAAAGAGGATCATCCATGATGAACCCACACAACAGGAAATGGCCAAGTAAAGATTGACTGCTTGTGGGGGGGAAAAGAGGCATGTCTGTCATAAGGCAGAGATTCCTAATAACTGTGCAAATATTCACGTGTTCTTTAAGGATTCTTGAGAAATCTCTGCATAAACGGAGAATTTTATAACAAAGGACATTAGATTTTTAGACTCCAAAGAGAGCAAATTCTTTTATACAACCTGGACTGGTCCACAATGGATTTCACTTAAACATATCAAACAGCTCTTTGAACTCGGCAAAGTCCTTTTCCAGCTGCTACCTCTCTTGCTCCCCCAATAATTCAAGAAGGTTCTCGAAAGTAACCCTACCAGTAACAACACATTGTGTTTAGTTCTTTATGGATTTAAGCCTGCTTTTTCATCTGTTTTCTTATTGAAATCTATCCAAAAGTTGGCAGGAAAATAGTTTAACATGGATTCAGTCTCCACTATTTGATTAAGCATGAGGCTCCAGTGAGTGACAGAGCAGAAACATATATGAACTGTGGTTCCTGCCCAAGGGTTGTAGCAGCAGTGGTAGGTAATGACACACAGCTACCATTCTTTGAATATGTGTCAGATGTCCTCCTGTAGGCTTTTTACCAAGGTTGTTCAGAACACATTTCTTGGTGTCTTATTTTCACAAAGTACACAGGCCAGCTGGTGGCCAAAGGGTTGGAAAATAGTTTAACATGGATTATCTGTTGAGCGATCAATTTTGTCTTCTGTCTATAAGACAAAAACCTTATAGCTTGCCTTGATCTCACTCTGCCTCACCTCCAGTCCCCCATGAGTTTTATCACCTAAGTTCAATTGATTTTACAAACTCAATATCTCTGCATGCACGTCTCTTATTTCATTGAACCATCATGCAACCCTTTGAAGTCATGTTTTCCTTATTCAGTTTTATGGATGAGATTCTGAGATTTAATAACCTGTCCAAGCCCAATGGCCAGTAAGTGGTAGGGCTTGGATCTCAATATAAATACATTCAGAGCTCAAATCTCTTCTCTATCTCTGGAGCCCAAGTTCTTGGTAATAATAGCTCACATTCATCAAGCACATAACCAGGTTCCAGGCACTGTGCTATGCTCTGCCTGCATGATCTTATTTAATCTTCCCAGCCTAGTAACTTTATGCTTAAGCTTTTGGTAGTATATCATGATCCCACTCTTACAGATGAGGAAAGAGATTCAGAGAAATCATGGGGCTTGCCCAAATTTACACTGCTCAAGCCCAAGAAATTTGATTCCAGACTAGTATTCAGTGTGCTCAATTGCTTCCCAAAATTGGGGTTCAAAAAGTTCAAAGAATCATCAAGGAGCCTAGATCAGGTAAGTGTAGGATCACAGCCAAGACCCAACTCCTCACGTGAGATCATATCTGAAGCCTGTGGTAGTATTGGCCTGGTCTATTATATGAACCAATTATACTTTATCTCGATGTCACCCCAACCCTGTGTGAGTCTCTTTTCATCTAGTGATTTCCCTTTAGCGATTCCGGGAGCTGTGTCTTCACCTCCTCCACAGCTACTGTTGCCCGGGGCAGGGGAGGAAGCCTCTACCTCCTCACTGCCCTATAAGCCTGCAGTCCCTACACTGATCTGCTGTCTACTATAGTTCAGACAGACTAATTACCCTGTGACTGGGCTGCTAATAATCAAGGGAACCCCCCAAATCCACTTAGTACCATTATGACTTCCTACTTTTTGGAAGCAGATATTTGAAACAAATAGAAGTCATCATCCCAGACAAATCCTGCCCATTTCCCTCACTGATAAATTTTACTCTATTGGCTGTAATGCATCCCTTCCAGATGTTTTAAATTAAGATTGGGAAAGCTATGTTTTTACTTGATTGAATCACAGCACTTGGCTGACATTTTTTGGCCCTTCATGCACTCCTTAGATTTATCAGCTAATTGCACACACTTTGAGAGAATAATATAGCATATGTATGTTTTGACAGATTCTTGTTAGTGTGTCTTAGTGGTCAAAGATTCACTGGTGTTTCTTTTACTGATCCCTGGTTAGATGTTAGAGTTGGTTCAAAAACATTGATCCAAATCCAGAAACTTATGTACATGGAAATTTTATATATGTGTCTTGGGAAATGGAGACAGGATAAATCCGATTGTTTAGTTCTTATTCTTGGACTGTTTTGAAATCTTTAAGTTGTGGGTGATAAAATAACTTATTAGGAGATGTCCATTGCCTGAGGAATTTTATTTAAAATGTCAAAAAATAGCTTCATGTTGTTCTAATGCCACTATTTACCAAGGTTTTGCCTCCGAGTTAATTCTTCAAATGTGGCCTGTTTGGACACTCATGCCTGAGGACATGTCAAGAGGGGTGACAGTTTCCCTCAATCATGGAAACCACTGGCTGAGATGGCCCATGAGGCACTAAGAGCCCGATGGCAGAAAACTGGAGATGGGGGAGATCCTCACATCCAGGTGCAGCAGCTGTCATTTTGGATACAAGTCACTGTGCCTCAGGATCCAGGCAAGCCCCAGTCATGGGGCATTGCTGAAGGCATGAGTCCAGAAAGGCAGATGGACCACAAGAAAGGGAGGATGAAAAAGCCAGCAGGGAAAAATGGGTGCCCTGCATGTGTCTTTGGGGTCCCTGACGCCAAGTCAGACTGAAAATGAAGAGAAAGCCAGAGCTCACTGTTGACTCCAGGTGCCCAGAGCCAGATGTGTGAGGACCACAGACTCCAACAGAGATGCACGAGGGATACAAGAGTCTGGAACACTCGCTTCCTGCTGTGGTCAGGCAGGCTTAGGGGCCAGTGGAGGTACCAAGGTTGCACCTGTGTCTGGAGGATAGGGGGTTGGTGAGCCAGAGGCCAGGAAGTAAGGCACAAGCTCAGGGAACAGCTCCCAACTATAGAATTTGTAAACAGATAGGGGAAGCAAAGTACTAAAATGCCATGGAATTGTACAGAGTGAATTCTAGAAATGCCAAAAAAAGAAATGCTGCTTTGCATGACTTAGATATACAGAGTTACCTAAAGGACATGGTTGTAAAGGAACCTGTTGGAATAACTTTTAATATTTTATCATTTAAGCATCAGATAAAGATTTTTCTTAAGCTTATTTCTTCATTTCCTTTCACAATGCTTCTCTATGAGGACGCCCAGATTTCTCTCTGGAATGGGTAAATATTAGCTCTTCTGAGAAATGGTTTTTATTCCACAGATTGAAACACTCATAAATGTCTGACTTTTTCACTTGCTACTAGAAAGCTTGGAATTAAGTCCACTCCTAGCCAGGAAATAAACTCCTCAGAGCATATTTTTTGTGTGCTTTTCTCACTCACTGTATCATCTTTCTCCTGTTTGCCCTTGAATCCATTCCCCCATTATAATTTATTGCATCTTTATTTTATTGTGTCTTGTGATGTATGTGTTGCTTAAGTTGGAACAAGAAACATATCTAACTAAATGTATCAATGCAAATAAATAGACATTCCCCAGTGCAAAAAGATGGTTTCTTCTTTTACAGTTTAAATTTTATAATTACATCATTAGTTGCTTTAACAAATGTCTTTTCATGAATAGAAAAAAAAAATGGTTTCCTCCAGCCCCCTGAACCATCTCCAATTTCAAAGTAGTAAGCCCCCAGAAATGATATCACATTTGGTTAGCAAATTAGCTCAATGTTCCATACTTGTTTAAAATATTTGGTTCAAATTTTAGGATCTGTATTCAACAAGAGGCAGGATTCATAACTAGTAGAGAGAAGTCCAACCGGGCAAATGCCCTGCTCTGGCCAGAAGTCTTCATTACTAATTCCCTGTGTGGTCGTTGGGTTCATCAGACTCCCAGTGAACCCTGCAAGGCTCATTTCCAGAGTAGAGTACATTTCCACTTAACTAAGGCTCAGGTCCTCTTGAAGAGTGGGGCACAGCCCTCTGCCACATCCTCTTTCCAGATTTTTCTTACAAAAGAAGAGTAATCTGTGCAGCACCTAGGGACAGTTGGTCATCCACACCTTAGCCCTCCAGCCTTATCTATTATCACTCTTTTATTTCTACTTTTCAAGCTCTTTTTGTGGTAGCTGAAGGGGTCTGTGCATTTCTACTTTCTCACTTCCACTCCTGCCATTCCCAACCTGGACCCTAACATGCCCTTGCCCACCCCTCTCCATCTCCTCTCCACCCTCAGTTCCCACTTTTTCCATGAAGCCCTTAGAAATGTACCTGCTCAAACTATCTTCCCCAAGAGCTTCAGGGCTCCCACTATGTGTCTCCTTACCCTCGCTCCCACCACATAACTGGCCATTGTCATTTATCATGTCAAGTGTACATCACGTTTCAAGAACTCTTTATCAAGCCTCTACTGATGATTCTCTCTTTTTTTCTATCTCTCCTTTTCTTTCTTTCTTTCTTTTTTCTTTTCTTTTCTTTTTCTTTTTTTTTTTTGGTACCAGGGATTGAACCCAGAGGCACTTAACCACTGAACCACATCCCCAGTCCTTTTTTTGTATTTTATTTTGAGACAGGGTCTCACTGAGTTGCTTAGGGCCTTGCTAAATTGCTGAGGCTGGCTTTGAACTCACCATCCTCCTGCCTCAGCCTCCCGGCTGCTGGGGTTACAGACATGTGCAACTGCTCCCAGTTGCTGATAATTCGTATTCATAATTCTTATAGGACACCCAACAGCATCTAACACAATCTGGCACATTAATGTTTGGTGTTGATGATACTAGTAAAGATATTACCCTCCCTTACACCTACTGCTGCTTCTAAAGGCTTTGAATTTTCCTATCTGTATCTCAGTTATCTCTTAACAAATTATGCTAGACATTGACTTTTTTATTTCTTCTCCTAGATTTTGAAGAAGTCCTGCATTGAAATTCTAGCAGCTGAACCATCCACCATATGTGCAGGAGGTAAATGATATTAAATGCTAATTGCTTTCATACCATTGATATTTTGAATTCAAACCACATGTTTACTTCTTTGGTGGGGAGCGGTGAAGATAGGGCAGGAAGAGGGTGGGTGAAAAAGGGAATATAAATTGCTAGCTTGCTTTTCTTCAGGGGAAGAAAGAAAAGAAAGAAGCAACATGTACATATTTTTAAAGTTTGGAAAAGTCCATCCAAATACTGTCCTCGTGGTACTAAATTACAAGGGAATTCTAGAAATGCTGAATTCCCACACCAGTACTGAATACTGACCACCAGTCTGCCTCTGGAAAGAAATGGAGTCACCCAATAAGCACAGTGGGGCATGCATATAATTTCAGCAGCTCTGGAGGCTGAGGCAGGAGGATATCAATTTCAAGGGTGCTATCCTTTCTACATAGTTAATGTATTTACTTAATTGTTCGATCCATAAAATGGTAGTGTATGACTTCAGTTGTCCTGATAGAAGCCATGATAATTTTGTCATTAATACAGGAAGTCTCTACTTACACTCAGAAGCAGCCTTTTTTGAATCACAATGTTTTCTCCAAGTGATGAAAACTGGGGTCTTGCTCTTTCTGTGTTTTATAATAGGCTGCCTGAGATGTCAGCCATGCCAGCTCTTCTCCTATAATTCTAGACAGATTTCCCAACACTCTTCCTTCATTCATTTAAAAAGCATTGTTAAGCATTTGCTGCACACCAGGGACTGTGGTGGGTGCTGGAGATACAAGAAGGACCAACTGTCTGTGGGAGCCCCTGTTCCCCGGGGACTTTCATCTTTCACTATCGAGAGTTCTCTATTGAGATCAGTTGTCTGGCCTCGAAGAATTATCAAGTGCTGGTCATTATTTGCCAACAGAAAATATGACAGGCAACCCTGATAAGACAGTGAGCCTTGAAGGAAGACCTTTCAGGCTTATCAGACACTATACATTTCAATGCTTATGGCATGTTTTATCGGTATAAATAAATGAATCTCTTGAGGATTTCCTCCCAGTTTCTATATGTTAGGACACCTGAAAGATTCTCAAGGAGTTAGACACTAACTAAGATTACAGTAAGTAATCTGCCAACATGAAAGTATTAAGTATACATATAATTACATAAAGTTAGCAATCTTGGCATCTAATTACCTACATACATAAATATAAACATACTAAATGCATATAGATACTAACACATATAAAGATGTTAGCAGAATACTTGATGACTATTCAGAAATATGTTAATGTTCCAAAGAAAAGCAATAAAAAATTACCTATTGATGTTTAAATAAATTGCTACCTAGCAATACAGATGGCAGGGGAAACTGTTTTTTTACCCCTCCAAGGAAAAAAATTCAAAGCTTCACAATTTGACAAAAAAATATGAACACATAAACATAATGTCAGAACCTTTTAAGGGGCTTATCTGCATAAGGAGCTTCAGTGAGACTCTATTAACTTCAAGGTAAATCATCACTTTGGGTTCTGTGTGCTTCTGGTACAGAAAATGTGTGGGTTATTACAGATCAGTCTTGTGTATTGTGTGTGAGAGCATAATACATTTTTATAGTTCCCTGATTTTAAAGCAAGTGGAAAACAAGGAAGCCTTCCATTGTGCAATTATCCCATTCATGAGGAAAACCCAGACTTCCAGTTTAGCAATCCCACGGGATGTGTTGCAACCGTGTGATACGCAGAAAGTCCAAAGTCCATGAACACAATTTCTAATTCACGAGAGCATCATTAGCATCATCGGCTCCCTTCCTGTAGGCATCCTGAACACACAGGAGGAAGCTTATCGCTCCCCACTGCCCGTTGCCTTGCCAAGTGCCTGGCACTTAACACGTGGTCAGTAAAAGTTGGCTGAACGTCTTACTTCTTGCCTTCCCTAAAAGCACAGAGCCACTGCCTTTTGCTTATTTGATCCTCATTGACTCCTTTCATAAGAAGTTAATGTCCTACGTTGAACTGTCTAATGAAAATAGCACAATTAGAAATTCATAGCCAAAAATAGAACAAGACCAAAATATAAGTAAAATCTTAACCACACGGACAAGAGAAAAGCGCTCCTCTATAATCCTAGTCTCAGCAAGTAAACCAAAATCCCTTCACATACCATTAAGGTGTTCAAGACTATAAAAGCACTTCATATATAAACTTGAATACGGCGCAGAAATGTGAGGGCCACAATACGTGATCCTAGGAAATTAATGGATTTTTTAATACATTTCTTTTCTTGTGGGGTTTTTTTTTGTTTGGGGTTTGGGTTTTTTTTTTTTTTTGGTACCAGGGATTGAACTCAGGGGCACTTTTTCTATATTTCTATTTGTTTATTTGTTTGTTTGTGTTTAATTTTGAGACAGGTTCTTGCTAAGTTGCTTAGGGCCTCCCTAGTTGCTGAGGCTGACTTTCAACCTGTGATCCTCCTGCTTCAACCTCCCGAACTGCTGGGATTATAGGAGTGTGCCACCAAAACGGTTTAATACATTTATTATTCAGTGAAAAAAAAAAGAAGCAAATTAAGAATTAGTAAAAGTTTTTTTTTTAAAGCTAAGTGAAATACAAGAAAAAAGTAAAAAATGCACTAAAAAAATTAAACAAATTAAAGCAATTTAACTAATAAGTTATTCCCAGAGCTATTTTCTTGGTAGAACCAAAAAGATAGATAGATTTCTGATAAAGTCAACCTAAAAGAGCTTTCTTTAGATATTTTTAACATCACTGGCATGTTTGTAATATCACATATTATAGACAAACTATCCTGTATCAGAGCAAACCATCCAACTCTATTTCCTTTATTTCTAATAAAGAAAAAAAAAGTAACACAAGATACAGTGATGGAAGCTAGTCCTAAATTTTGAGTAAAGGAAATCTCCTACTTCTCTTAAATCAGAATCATAAGGGTAAAAGAAGGACCGGAAACGGGAAGAGCTGAAGATGAAATTGACCAAATTATTCCGTGTACATATATGAATACACCATAATGAATTTCACCTTGTATGTATATCCATAAAGCACCAATTAAAAAATAAAATAAATGAGTAGAAGAAAGACCTTTGAGGAAGAGAAGCAGGAGAAGGGAGGAGACAGTGAAAGTGGAAGTACTAGAGATTGTAATGCAGCCAATTATATTCCATATATGCATGAATATTTATTTCAAAAGGAACTATTATGTCTAATGATAATGCAATCATTAAAAAGCATTTCAAAAACATGCTGATTACAAAATAATGTTTCTAGAAAGAAAATCAAACCTCTAAAGGATAGCCTTACATCAAAAGTTCTTCCACGGGTTTCCTGAAGGTCAGTCGTTGACTGTTCTCTGTAGTCAGCAAGGCTTTCAGGAAGCATTGGAGCCCATTACATTGTCCATGGCCTTGAGATCCTGGAGCCAAAACCTAAGCATGACTCCTCTGTGATTTTCATTAGGCTACTTGGAGGATCCAGGGCTTACCAGGGATTTCCATGAGAGTGTTTCAAAAAGCATGAACTGCAGTACAAAACAAGGTGACATTATTGTCATCAACATCATTTTAATGAGGATTTAAAGGTTAAATATGGTGCTAATCATGTCATATCTAGATGAGAAAAACATGCGTGTGTGTTTCTCCACTGAAAGAAAATCAGGGAGGACATTGATAGAGTTCAGAATATCTACTAAATAACTAATTAATTCAATATGTGTTGTGGGAGAGGGTAAACAAGGAAACAACTGTTCCCATTTCTCAAGTACAATGGTCGTCGCACCAAGCCCTAGACAGAAAGCAGAATTTGCTTTCATCCAAAACATTGTCTCCGAGCCCCCTCCCCTCGTATTCTAAATTACATGCCTTCATTGGCCCCCAGAGCAACCCTGCTAGGGAGCCCCACCCAAGTCTGTCTCTGCTGACGACTGCATTCCCCCAAGACAATGATCTCACCTGGCTCTTGCCCCAACTCAGCCTCAGCCATGGTTCTGACAGTAAACTGAGCTCTGAGAGAGGCCTCGAGATAATGCCCTGGGTGGACAACAGAACCCCTATACCACATGGGCCTCTAGGTGCAGGGCTGCAAAGAAAGTGAAATGTCATGAGACAAATAGAAAAGTTTCAAACCTGGTCTGAAACAGCCAGTTTCACAAATCAGCAGTTTTAGGCAAATCTGACTTAGTCACGATTTTTTTCAGGGGACAAGAAAACCCAAGGACCATCCTAGCTCTCTTGATAGCCAGTAAGAACGCCTTTGGCCAAAAAGGACTGATGCAATCTTAGGGTGCATCAGTAGTCATCTAGGTCCTAGTGTGGGGTTCAGACCACATGGTCCAAGGACCATCCTTAAAGACTTGCAGTGAAACTGCATGTCCACAGGAGACGCAGTGATGGAGCTGAAAACCATGTGTAATAATTCATTCACATGTTTTTCCTCTCCCTTCCTTCCCTCTTTTTATCCTTCCTTGCTCTTTTCCTGCTTATTTCTTCCTTTCTTTCTTTCTGGCAATTCTTAGTGTCGACTATGGCGATGTGAAAACCTATGAGTACAAAAACTCAGTGGACTTGCTCCCAGTCCCCCATGAAATGCAGTCAGCTCTGGGAGGTTGCCAGATGCTCAAATAAATGACAAGACTATGCACTGAGCAATATAGCAGAGGTCTGCTCCTGCCCAGTGGAGATGAGATGCTTGTGAAATGAGGAAAGATTAAAATAACCAGAGATTAGACAAAGAATTGAGACTCACAAGAGTATCTTCCAATGTCTGGAGGATTCCCATGCAGAAAGGAAATGTGAGACTCATTAAGCATAAGCTTCAGGAGACCACCACCGGAGAGGCTGGAAGACTTCAGGGAGGCAAATGTTGATTTCATCCATGCAACTTTCACAACTCAAGTTTTCCAACAACGGAGTGGATGGCCTGAGGTCTCCACCTCTAGTATTATGTGAGCAATGGCAGAATGGCCATCTGTAACCAGATGCTATCCAGAGGAGACCTCCATTGGGTCTCTTTTTACAACTTGAAGTTTCT